GACACGTCTGTGAACAGTGACTTTTGATACCTGGACTCCAGCTTCAGTCCACTGTCTTTGAAGCTCCCCCAAATTCTGGAAGCGACTCTTCTTCACAATGCTGTTAAGGCTGCGGTCATCTCTCTTGGTTGTGCAGCGTTTCCTGCCACATTTCCCCCTTCCAACAGACTTTTTGTGGATGTGCTTTGAAACTGCACTCTGTGAACAAGCTTGTCTCTTTGTAGAAATTTCTTTTTGTGTCTTACCCTCCTGATGGAGGGTGTCAATGACGGTCCTCTGGACAGCAGTCAGATCAGCAGTCTTCCCCATACTTGTGATTTAGTTTACTGAACCAAGCTGAGTGTTTTTCAAGGCTCAGGAAACCCTTGCAGGTGTTTCGAGTTAATTAGACGATTCAAGTGATTCGTTGAACACCCTACTAGTATACTTTTTCATGATATTCTAATATTTAGAGATAGGATATTTGAGTTTTCTTAAGCTGTATGCCATAATCAGCAATATTAAAATAATAAAAGGCTTGCAATATTTCAGTTGATTTGTAATGAATCCAGAATGTATGACATTTTTGTTTTTTTAAATTGCATTACAGAAAATAAAGAACTTTATCACAATATTCTAATTTTCTGAGACAGTCCTGTATGCTCCAATTGTTCGACATTTAATCAATTATAGTTCTTGCAGAGTATATAAAACAACATCAAGGCCTTCCTGGCTGTGATTCTGTTTTCACAATTTTTTTTAAATAAACCATTTCATCAGCGTTTTCTCATTACAGTTTTTTACGGAGTGAAGTTCATACTCTCTGAGGCCAAGGCTTGACATGCCACAAACAGAAGTCTTCAGTGTTTCTGCAAAGCAGTCAGTCCACCTCCCTCGACTCTGTGTTTACTAAACACTTAGTGTTTGGCTGTCTGAGATTAGTCAATGAAGGTGGAACGATACAGGAAGACATGGCTTTAGCTGGGATTCCAAACGTAGATGGGTGTGTTTGTGTGCAGGCCAAGCCACCTGAGGTCCTTTTCAAAGTTCAGGACACTGAAAGGTTTATGAAGCTCGGAATAACTCAAAATGTGTCATCACTAACCCCTTAATGTAACTTAATGGGGAGATGAATTAAAATGACAATTTATTTATAAATGTGCACTGCAGATAACTAAATAACACAAAATGAATCTGATTACTTATCGGTACAGGTGTGGCGATTTTTGCTCTTCTCATCTTTCTTTCATTTAAAAAAATACATGTATTATTGAGGAAAAATGTAGTCCATGTCTACCATAAAAGTAAATTCAATCAATTTGGTAACTATATAGACTTAGTAATTATCAACATTAACAAATAAACATTGTGAAAACTAAAACGCCTTTTGCAACAAAAAAAAAACATTACAGTCTGATGTTGATTCAGCAATCTTAAGGATGCCAAATGTACTTCACCAAATAGTGGCCGTAAACGTACATTATAGTGTCCCAGATTTTCTGTTCGTTAAAGCAGCTATTTTTCACCACCAGTAACTATTGTAAAGCATGTGGTAAACACTAAATAAAGGAAGAGCATCAATAGTTTAAGCAAAAAAGTAGTATTGTATAACGAATAAAGGTTAAACACAATCAATGGAGTTCTAGCCTGAGCTTAATATGTACTTTGATTAATCGAAGAGCTCCATTATCATTGTCACCCTTCAAAATGCCATGTAGCTCACAGCCAGCAGAGGAGCTGAGTCACTTCCAAGTGAAAAAACAACAGCACTGGATTGATGAACTGTCCTCTGATAACTTCCCAGAAACAAAATAGTATAAAACAATACAGTCGAAGCATCGTGGCTGAGAATCTTTCAACTACCAAATAAAAAAAAAAACAGTATCAACAAATCAATATCTAATTGACTTGTTTTTTTTAAAGAGGTAACAGTATTTGGTGTGACCACAAAATGCTCTTGGTATCTTGCCTTTCTCTCGTAGATGGCGATCCAGTCTGTTGTGGCGAACCATTTGTGGCCTTTGATGTCGTTCACTCCGTTCTTCAGGTTGCCGTAACGTTTAGTCAGATCCACCTGCAGCAGGTTTCTCAAAAGGTCCTTCAGGTCGGAGCTGAAGTGGGACGGGAATCGTACCTAGAGAGAAGAGGACAAACCTTTCTTAGAAAAACGTTTTAACAGTTAAAAAAGGGAGATGGGCTAATTTATCATCTATTGGTTGAAACTAGACGGTTGTCAGCTTATCCGCCATGACTGGTCATCATCTTTCAGTCTTGCCAGTTAAATGAACAGACAAAATGGTTAACCTTGCACAAACGGTAAAGTCAATGCCTTACTCATACAACATGACGCCCCAGTGGAATCTTTTCAGACATAAAGCTTGCAATTACGCCGCGAGTCCAAAATAAGCGGAAAAAAAAAAGATTTTCACAGAAGGTCCTGATATTGGTGCAGTTTATAAGAAAATTTCAATTATGTAATCGCTAATGTTTTATTATTAAACTTAGAATCAATTAAAATATAATATAAAATGTTCCATTAAAAAAGAAAGTACAAAATGTTTGTGTATGCTGTCAATATATGGCTTACAAAGTTAGAAATCCAAAACGACAGGTCTAACAATTGCACTTTACATCTCTAGATGAAATCTGGGTTTTGTACATGCACACCTATATCTGTCTTTTTCCCAAACCATAACTGAGACTGCCAAGGCACACNAGGGTCAAACTCTGCACATCATTCAGCAGTGCACAGTGAAGCTCCAACATCCAACTGCA